TTTTTTTTTTCTACACTCTACTCTACTCTACTCGCTAATGGAAGTCGGTTGCGGATGATTGTTGCGTCACCTCTAGCTGAGTAAAAGCAAACGAACACCAAAAAAAAGAAAAGAAAAACTACTGCTACTATTGAACGTGCGTGCTCTTTTGTTACACACCGATTTGAGTTTCACAACGTGAGCCACCATAGCCCTCATAACATGAACAATACGGTTGATTAGTACGGTCTTTTTGACAAGTTCCATGATTGCACTGATAATTTACACAAGGATCCGTTGAAACTAAAACAAAAAAAAAGAATTTAACATGCTTGAAATAACAAAGAAAAGAAAAATCCTTGACCTCAAGAAAAAAAAGAAAAGCTAACTTTTTCACTTTGACATATAAATGAAATCGACTGATAAAACATGCAATTCTCAAAACAGTTTGATCTATTTGATTTTCAAGGTTTTCATTATCAATTCCTACATTATCGTATTATCAATAATAAATGATATATATATTCAACAGTCTTTTTCAATAAGAATTATTTTTTTCTTACGTGGTTGTTCACAACGATATCCTGTATATTGAGCAGGACATTGACAATAAGCTAAAGTTGTTGCTGTTGCTGGTTGAATACAATAACCACCATTTAAACAGTTGATTCTTTCACATGGTGTCCCTAGAATAAAATACATGCGTATATATAATCTATGATGAAGTAAAATTTATGGTTTATCAAAAGAAAAAAGAAATAAATGAGAAAACAATATAAATATATATATATAATATAACTTACAACAGCCAAGGTAACATGGCACAGCTCCTACCGCTCGTCCATCATATTGAGATGGTGGTGAAGGTGCAGCTTCGATAATAATAATACTTATTATCAATAGTAGCAGTATTAAAGTTTGCATTGCATATAATATATTCAGTATAACACAAATACAACAAAATGTAGGAAAAAAAAAGAAACGTGTGATTGTATGCCGATGGGATGAATCACATCATTATAAACGACAAACGTCGAATATATATATATGTTGTATATATTTTTCTTTTTCCTCTTGCGTTTTGTTTCTCTGCCTTTTCTGTGGTTTTTTAGTATGAAGTGATGAGTAAAGTGGATGTCGTTGATTGTGGCTTTTTGTATTTCAAGAATCAAACAATGTCAATAATGATTGTGATGGTAAATGGTACGAAGTTAAAAGAGGAAAGAAAGTCTTTTTTTTTTCTTCTTGCCAATAATAATTCAGAGATGCGACGACGAACGGCGCCGGTTGATGATGGTGAATATCGTTCGGACTCGTATTTTTCCTCCTCCTCTTCTTCTTCTTCTTCTTCTTCTTCTTTTTTCTTCTCTTTCTTCACAATGTAATCGTAATGGGTAAATGCGAAAAGAAAAAAAAGCAACAGAAAGAATAACGTAAGATGCAAACAAACACTAAACCGCAAAACGACGACGAAGACGACGTTGATGGCAGAGAAAGAGAAAAATATATATATATATATATATATACCGAGAAAAATCTACGATGAATGAGTAACACAGAAAGAAAATATGTGAGAATAGAGTAGTATAGTAATATCTTGTATTAGTAAGAACAACAACATAAACCAGATGAAGGAAGATGCTTTATTAACGTCATCTCGAATGCATTCTATTGCTTTCTCGCTCTCTCTCTCGGTGCTAGTAATACTGAGCCTACAAAATCGCTGTCCTCATTGTCGTCCTCTTCTTATGTTTTTTTTCCTCTTCTCCTCTACTGTGAATATATATATATGTATTGGCTATGCGTTCGCACACACGTACGAACGGAAAGGAGAAGTGATAGACAGAAAAAGAGAGAGAGAGAGAGAGACCAAAGGAACAAGAAAAAAGCTTCTTATTAACATAAAAAAAAGTACACCAACCACACAAAGAACGATCGTGTATGTGTGTGCTAGTTCGACTTCGGATGTTAATAGTAGTAATAATACTTGATGTAGAAAAAAAGAAGAGAGAGAGAGAAGAAATATGCCCAAAAAAATAGGATTTGACGTTCGCGCACCAACAGAAAAGAAGAGCATGTCAAATGAATATTTATTTACATCTAATGATTTTTCTTTATTATTTTTTTTCTTGTTTGTTCTTCTCTATTAATAAATTGTCTTTATTTACAGAAAAATTAAACTTCAAGCAAAAAATGTCCATAACCTTAAATCACCTATACAAATAGAATAGATGACCATCAATCCAATAAAAATAAATAGAGAAGCTGATCCGAAATAAGATGATGCAAGAGAATAGTATACATATATAGGCTTCCTTTTACCACCCGAACAGTCTCCCGTCTAGAGCACGTATCATCTTTTTTTTATGCTAATTGACTATGGATACATATATATATATATATCTATATATTACATATGAGTCTCAATAACTATATATGCGAAACGCAAGCATAAACTGGATGAGAAAAAAATATGTGCCTCGTCAGTCATTTCGAGATAATATGATTACACCTTAGGTAATGTACATAAATATGAATGATCGATGGTTGACGGACAGATCAATATCTAGTTCATTGTCTTTCTAATATACATAAAAAAATAAATAACAACATGACTTACGTTCTGGTATAGCTGCACGATTATTCCAACCAACACTTGGATCATAATCAACTAATGATGGATTATGAATACAATTTTGTATTAAATTTTCACGATGATTATCCGAAACAAGAATAATCTAAATATATATATATGTTTTTTTTAATATTAGAAAAAAAAAGAAAAGATAAATTTCTTATTTTTTTTTTCTACTTACATCTTGAACATAACCATAAAAATTTGTTCCACATATATGAATTTTTCTATCACCAAATAAACTAAAATATCCAGTTATATTTGTGTAACGTCGAGTTTCATAATCAAATGTCAAATCAAGCTATTAAGATAAATATAGAATGATGAAAAATATTTTGTTATCAACATGATTAATCACATACTGTATTCGATGTTTTTTGACAATGTAATGTATGCCATTGATCACCTCGTACACGACTAGGAAAATCATATGTATATATAGCAGGACCATTTTGAATAATTAAACGTGGATAATAATTCTTAACAAAAAAAAAATAGAAAAATTTCATGTCAAGTATATATCTATATAACATATTTTATCTTTATATATTTACTTGAAGAACAATTGAAACTTGAATAGGACCATCACGCGATATATATAATGTTGAATTTGCTGATGTTGTAAAAAAAGTTAAATCAAGTTGTTCATTTTGACCAGGTCCAATTTGTGTTAAATAACGAACTAAACCTGTATTACCCATATCAATAGATGTTGGTGCACAAACCATTGAACAATCTGTTTGTCCACAAAATGGTAATGGTCGAATATTTTGATGACATGGAATTTGTCGATCACACATCATACCTTGTTGATAAAAACAATCATAACGATCAGCTTTTAATACACCTTCAGGTAATAATGGATGACGATTATATGTTACATTAGCAAAACAACCAACAAATGGTTGATTCAATGTATCTGGCATTAAACGATATGGACCACCAATAGTAACAACATCAAAAAACATTGGTGAACGTTCTGGTATTGATACAGGTGTTGTACGTTTATCAATTTGTACATAAATATTATCATGTGAATATGTATCAGGTATTTGTCTTGTAACTAATATACGATGTTGTTTACCATCATTTATTGTTTGATTATCATTATATAAAATTTGTGATGTTTTATTATATGGTGAATAATATTTTAATTGTAATTTACCATCTTTTAAACAAAGAATTAAACCACGTTGATCATCATTTGAATACATTGATGTTATAACACCATTTGTTGAAAGTGTTTTTATTGGCATTTGACAATAACGAAATTCATCATTTGATTGAACTTGAAGTTCAATTATATCACGACGATCACGCATTGAAAAACTTACATCAGGTGATACATATGATACAACATTTTTACCTAAAATATTAATTAGAAGAAAATTTCTCGATGAATATAAATCCATGCTAGTTTTTTTTTTTTTTTTGTCTTTAATTGTGGTCAAGGATTTTACTGTAAGAAAAATAAGATTATTCAATCGACGGAGAATCTGTAATTTAATTGATTAAAATTTATGCTCGTATATAAAAAAAGTCAGCCGCCTAGTTCTTTTAGAATATATTGTAATTCATTAATTTAATTATTTAATTTCTGCTATTTTTCAATTGGTTGAATAATTGTGAATATATAAAATAATATTTTTTTTTTATATATTTATATTTCCTATTTCATAGCGTAATTATTTATTCCTGTATTTTATTTTATTTACTTTTTTTGTCTAGAATTGCCAGACAGTTGAAATAATTGTAAGTTTCTCATGAAACTTGAGAGCAACAGTTGTGTGTTTTTATAATGAAAAAAAAAAATTTGTCCTTCGATAAATAGTACTCAAATATTATTGATAGGAGAATCTATTAGATTCATTAACTTAGAACTAGATGCGTTCTCACACTCAGACTTGTATATTTGATATGATGAACTACTGCGTTATCAAAAAAGAAAAACAAACAAACGATCTCGGAATGAATCTATTCAAGCTAATAATTCAATATTTCGAATACATCTTAATACATTCTTGAAAGTTTATAGTTTAAAGTCAATATTATGATTAGCTGAAAATATAAAAAATCTTTATTTATATTTTCTTATTTAATATAAAACTTGATGATAATAATGATTATCCAACAAACAAATTTTTTCGATGTTTACATATTTTATTGGCTAATTTTAACTTGTCTACTCAATAAACATTAGTTGTCAAATAAATATAATAATAATTATCAGTTGAATATAAAAAATATATATAATATTTAATTAAAAAATGATTAAATGGTCCATATTTGAAGATAATATCAACAAGTAATATACATTTATACAGAATGTATTACTCATTTTGATGGCGATGATTTGCCAACGACTAAATTGGCCTTCGTAGAAGATTACAATCTGGACGAAATACTGTTTGTTTACATCGAGACGAGCGATGTGTGGAAAGAAATTTTCTTTTTTTTTTTTTTTTTTTTTGCTTCGATTCAGATAATTTCTTTTCTCATGGCCTCAACAAATCTAATAGTATCAAGATCGAGACTAGAATTATTCTTGTACATGTCTAATCGAAATTTACAATTTTGAAAATAAAAATCTCTATTGATTATGTTTGTTTTTTTTTTAAAAACTTACGTCCACGTTTTGATAATTGACAAATATTAGTTAATCTTCCTATATGATGTATATGATCTAATTTAATAATTGATCTTTCATTTAATAGAATATCTTTAATACATCCAATAAAATTATCACCATCTAAATCTGAAAATTTTTCTTTTATATAACTATCTAATTGTCCAATATAAATTGTATTAATACGTAAATTAGTATGAAATTTTTTCATATTTATATTTCCATCAATTTCAAATATAAAATCATCTTTATTAAGTATTTTTAATATTAATTTATGTTCACGACCATCATTAATTAATATTGAATTATTTATTAAAATTTTCATTCGTTTTCTTTGTTTATCATCATATGTTAATAATAAACGTTCATTATAAATACTTAATGTTATAAAATTTTCATAAGTTTTATCAGCTAATGAACAAATAATACTATTTAAATCTTGTGTATAAAATGAAAAAGAAAATATATGAAAATCTTCTGAATTATCAAGATTAATAATTAATGGACGATCATATTCTTTAAATGAAATAATTTGATCAATATAAATATTATTTAAAGATAAAATTTCTATTGATTTTAAAGCTATACTACTTGATGGACATTGTTGTCGATTTAAAGATAATTGTTTAAATATTAATAATTGATCATTATATGTTATATTTTGTAGACAACCAATAAATTGACTACGTGGACCAAATATAAAATTATCAATAATTAATTTTGATGTTGAAAGTTCAATTGAAATTTTATTTGGTTTAAAATTTTTATTTTTAATTATCCATGCTTCAAGATTTTTATCTGTACGTTGTAAATATACTGTATATAAATTTCCATCATTAATTGGTTTTTGTTCATCATTAGATAATATACGTTGAGCTTGTTTATCACGTAGAACTAATGCTAAATATCCCTCAACATCAATATTTAAACTTATTTGTTCAAATTGTATAAGTGTACTAACATTTGAACGTGTACGAAATGAAAATATTAATGTATTAAATGCTGTATTAATAGATGATGGTAGAATTATTTCACTATTATCATTTGGAAGAAAACCAATTGTTTGACTTATTTCAGATGATTTCATATCAACAACAACAAATATTTTATCATTAGATGATGATGATGATGATGAAATAATAGGTGTTGTTAAATCTTTAGAATTTTCATCATTCTCATCTGTTAAATCTTCTTCACGAAGATTTATTAATTGACCTGAATTAGTTATTTGAATCTAGATATAAAAACAAATTTATAAATATTTTGTTATTTCTAGATCTTCATGTACAAAAAAACAACATGTTTTTAAAAATTACAATAAGAATATGAGTGAATCGTATTTCTTCTGGAAATTCATTTCCTGAAATCCGATCTTAAAGTCTCTTGTTTTTGTTCGCTTCCTTAGTATGTGTCCGACTACCACAGAAAATTTCAGCCCGATACCTTACCACCCCGCTAAGATAAAGAGATTGAAGGTAAGAAAATCTATGATTTTTAATGAGTCATCGTACAAAAAATGAAGTTTCTGAGGAACGAAAAAGTGAATAGCACATTCTGTTCAGCGTCTGACGGCCTACTCAAATATATCACTTGCGAATACAATGCTTATCTCTCCCTTGTTCGTCTATGACAAAAATCCTTTTACAGACACTTTTTCTTTTTTGTGTAGAGAAACACAAAACCTTTTCCAGCAGACAAACGGATGAAGCTAAAGATCTAGTGCGTCCTGCAAAAGAAAGAGCTTGGTTCAAGTAACCAAACGTTTGAGTCTTCTTATTATTATTTTATAGAAAAGCAAGGCAATTTTTTCAAAAATTGCTTTTTCACTCACTTTGTAGAGAAACATTTTGACACTTATTTTAGTTCTAACTCTCGATAGACTCAATCGATCTTGTTGAAATTTACACAATAGAGTCTTCCTAAAAAAATTTGCATTATACGACGAAATGTAGAGAAACACTTTTTGTGCGTCTTTTCATCTCGCTCGACTTAAAAGAATACTTGCGTTTCTTAGAGTTTTGCATCAGTTTTTTGAGACCACTCTGGCTATTCATAGTCTCACTCGATGAAGCTCATTGAAATCTATCGAACGATATATCATGTGTCTGCTGTTGAGCTAATATTTTAGACCTTTTTTTATGAGACTGGATGAACGAATATTAATACAAAGATATCTCAGTTTCCTGACATGTGGTAGTTGGGAAATTTTTACTTTATACTCAGTAAAAGATGACGCATAAGATGCGCAATTTTAATTTTTGCTAAACAAACTTTCAGTTTTTTTTTGCTAATTGTACAACAGAAATACGATTCATTCATATATATATTTTGAAAATTTTCTAGATTAATTGATAGCTTTTATTATAATAAAGAAAATTTTATATAACATTAATGGTATAATCAGAATTTTGACATTGGAGCTTTTATAAAAGACAAAAAAGCGAGACTTGAGTACTCCGAAGTGCGAGTGAAGTATGATACTTTGAAGTACTCAAGTCTTGCTTTTTTCTCCTTGAGCACTTAACATAATCGAACTCTTCGATTAAAGAAATGCGCTGAGATGGCAGACCTTAAGATCGTGATAGAATTCAGTTTATGTTTTATTGATCTATAGAAACTCAGCTATCTTTGTTTACGTCATTATATAAAATTATTCTATTTCTATTTTATAGAGATGAGATTGGTTCGGTTTGAAAAATATCGATATTATTTATGTTTATATGACATCAATGGTTTCGTTGAGTAAAATTTGACAAGCAAAATCTGATAGAGAATGCAGTCGTATGTCATTCATAACTGTGATCGGTTTAACACATTTCTGATTGAATTAAGATTTGAACATGTTATAAGATACAAACGAATATAAAGGATCCTTTTATCTTTTTGTTTGATTTCATTATTTTAGTGAACTTCTCTTTTTTTTACAGACAAAGATGAGTTATATTAAAATGTAAATTTTGTTTTTACCTTTTATTTTCTAATAAAATGATTGTAATGATTATTTTGAACATGTTTATGATATCTTTTAAAAACTTTCGTTTTTTTTTTTGTTTTTGGATTACAAAAATGTGATTGTAAATAGATATGATGAAATACGTAGCAATTAAAATGAATATTTATCATTTTGATTGAATATAATTATGAATAGTAATCTATTAAGACTATAGTATACATTATTCATTTAGAAAATTATTTATCCATTTTTCTAAATCACTCTATTTGGATTACCTAATTCACTTGTATAATGTTTAATCTAGACATGTCCTTTTAATCTAGTTGTACAAATTTAATCAACAAAAAAAAAAAAAAAAAAAAAATCGATTTTTTTTCTTTTTGCTAAATGTTAATGGTTTCTATTTGTCCATTCTTTACAAATACATAGCATACTAAATTAACAATCTGTTACATCGATAATAATCTAATTTCCATTTACATACTTTCCTTATTTCTCTTATTATGGAGACAATTTTCTACTTCAATTCAAATATCATCATAATATTGACATGTAAAGAAAAAAAAAGAAATACATAGACTACGATAATCAAACAGACCGGGAGGAAGAAACACACACACACACACATACAAGCTAAAGGGTTCTATAGTTCATCATAGATCATTGAGACTTATTTAAACCCTCCTGGCTAATATATACAAAAAGCTATTGAAAATAAAACGTTAATATATTCATGAACTCATAGTTATTGTTTTTTTTTTGAATTCAGTTTGACTCAAAAGACAAAAAAAAACACGACCTGACCCTATCATTACTATTTTTATTATGTCATTTCGATTGATCAAATGTAATAAGAAAAAAAAAAAAAAAAAGTATAACTACTGTTATTTCCGAGCTTCATTTAGATAAACATTCACACATACAAACAAAAAACTGTTAATGAATGAAATCTTATATTAAATCTAATTTTTAAGGTCATCAAAATTCTAAACAAAGAATATGTGTATGTTTATCTTTGTATATTCACACATTTTCTTTTTTTTTTTTTTGTTAATCGAATTGTTCAAGAAAACTAACCGATGTTTAACCTCGGGCGTTATGAAGCTGAGAACATGATCATATTACAACAAAAAAAAAGAAATGGAAAAAGAAAACGTAGAGAAGTCCTGTTCTTTTCTATGTCGATATAGATTATCAATACGATTAAATTACAAACATTAATAATTTAGTATATGTTTTAATTATAAATGATTTATAAGAAAGGAGAAAGAATAAGACAGTTGAAATCATCGAAAATTTTATAGTTAAATTAATGTAATAATTTAGAAAAAAAAAAACATTTATTATTCTTTTATAAGATGAATTTTTAAGGTATCCTATAGATATATATATATTCATTAATTAAACTTACATCTCCAATTTTTCCATTAAAATCTCCATTAGGTACGGGTGTTAATTCTGCACCAATAAATATATTTGTCTTTGTTTGCCATCCATCAGGTAATTGTACATCAGATTGTTCAATATTATCAAGATCAAAATGTAACTATAGAAAATATAAAAATTTTATTTTCTCTTAAAAAAAATAGAATTCAAATTACTTTTCTTTCTAATCGTTGTATAGTTAATTTATGCCATTTACCATCATTAATTATTATTTGATTATTAGGTTTTGTTGTTAAAATAACATCAGGAAGATCATCTTGTGAAAAAATTATTTTTGGTTTACCATCCTAACAAGAAAATAAAACATATTTCATCGATCATTTTTTTTTTTTTTTAAATTCTTATCTATAATCAAATCAAACCTCGATATCAAATACATAATAAATATTATCATATGCAAATCCAGCAAGTATGGTTGTTGCTTGTGATATTTGTTGATTTGTAAGAATAGAAAATGCTATAGATTCTGATAATGTATAATCTTCTTCATCAGTTGTATATTTTGTTCGAACATTAAGTGGTGATGGATATTCACTAATCGTTTTCGGTATCAAACGATTATTATTTAATGACGCTTCTGTAAGAGTACCGCCTAGACATAAAGAAATATATATTTCAATAGTTGATGATGATGATGATTGAAGTCATGTTAGTCATTCGTCTGATTAATTTTCGAACTCTAGTATCGATAAGTGCAAAAAAATAATAATAATAATATCGACATTCAATATGCTAGTTGAAGCTTTTTTTTTTTTATTTATTTCGTCTAAGCATGTGTGGAGATGAAAATGTATCATCATTTTAAATTCTTGTATATGTATATATATTAAATTCAAGAGCTTACCGATAGTAAAAGTCTCATTGAATGACGATGATGTATTATTTATATTATCATCATTCAATAATTTTAAAGATTGTTGTTGATATAAATATATTTGAAGGAAAAATACAATAAGAATAAATGAATATTGTTTTGTGTACGACATAGATTTTGATTAGAAATATTTAATGATGATTTTCATGATTAGTCTATATATGTATATTGATTATTCAAAGAATTTAACATTGTACACATGAATGATGTATGAGAGCGCATCTATGTTGAGAGAAAAGAAAAATATATGAATGTTTTATCTCTCTTGTCTCTCTCGTTCTCTCATTATCGTTGTGTAGGGTGGATGGATGGTCGATGACCATCATCAAAATGCAAAAAAAGAAAAAGAAAAGACACACATTGAGAGAGACAAGAAGAAGAAGAAGAAGAAGAAGAAAGATTTCTCGCTCCTTCATATAGACTAGTGTAAGTTATACACACAGTTCACCATCGTTTCTACGTTATATACGATGTATATGTCGATGGTGGATGAGAGCAGATGATGAGGATGGAAGAAGAGAATAAGAATGAACTGTGAGTGACGAGTAAAGAAATGAGTGCGAGAAAAGAGAAGAGAAAAATTTTCTCCTTCTGGGCCGAAGCGAAAAAATAAAATTGTATCGGCGTTGTCGAGGGAGAAAGAACAATAGTAGTAGTAGTAGTAGTAGTAGTAGTAGTAGTCATAGTGGTCAGCAGTATAAAATCGGTTCGTGTCTGTCTTCTTCATCTCTCGGCGACACACTGAGTGTATACATATATATATATATACATATATATATATATACATATATATATATATATATATATGTATTTTGTATGAGTAAAAGAGCGTGAGCATCAAGAGTGAAATTAGTCGTCGCCGGCTGATGCATGATTTCTTCTTCATTGAATTGTCTGTCCGATCGAGACAAGAAAAGGAAGAGGGAGAGAGAGAGAGCAAAGGAAGAAAATGGTTCCACTGTAACACTAGTGTTTCGTGAGGCCCTATATAGAGTATCAACACCTCTGTTTGCATTGACCCTAATCTCTCTCTCACGCGCTATAACCTTTCTCGATGTCGCGCACACTTGTGCACAATTAAATTGTATATGTATAAATGCATATATATATATATGTATCAGATCGGTAAAAGTATTAATGCATATGTCGCATGATTGAGATAAATATTATTTTATATTAAAATTGAATCATATTATAAGTTTAAATTTATGTTTTCAAAATGAACAAAACTAATTTTCTTTTGTTAAATGAAGACCGACAAGATGAATCAAATTACAAGTAAATTCTCAATTTTCTTGGTGACACAAACAAAAGAGACATCAAACTACATGCATACTATGTATTATATAAGAACACTCATAAGTACAAAACGAAAAAGTGAGAAGAAGAAGAAGTAGACGAAGAAAAAAAAAAACTCCCAATGCTACAAGAATAAATTGTCATGTCAAAAAAAAAAGAAATGAGAAATCAAATTGATAAAGAATAAAAGAAAAAAGACAAGAAGTACTAAATGCACCTAACAAGTAAATGTTACGATTACGATTGATGATAGCAAATGATTACTTCAATCTCTTAATCGTATAATTTATGTCTCATTAGATATAGTCATATATTTTTTCCTTTCTTTCTTTCTTTCCACATTCCAATATAATCTCATATAACCAGAAAAAATATATCCCAGACAGTCAGCTGAAAAAAATAGTTATAATTCCATGTTGCAGAAAAAAATAATGATCAACTACGAATACCAACAATATTATTTATCAAAAATATCTTAATATGATTTTCTTTTTTTTTTTCAAAATTATCGCATATCAATGATGTAAGAATACAAAAGATTCTAAAACTGTCTAATTCCTATCTTTAATCATTGCATGTTTGATCATCTTTCATCGTTCACAGATTAAGATTTATTGTTCCTAACACGCAATATATATATATATATATACAAATGTCTGTCAAACAGTCACAATTAAAATCTAATTTTTTTTCTCTAATATTCTTATTAAACATTCGTCATAATTTAAACATTTATCGATCAACTTGTATGTAATAAATGTTAAAAAGAAATACTATACTTATAAATTCACACATTTACATATTATTGTTGTTTTTTTTTTCCTTTCAATATATATTATAACTAGAGAAGAGTAATACTAAATATTAGTTAGACTATACTATTCTTTTTTAGACTTACATTGACATAAATCGAGATTTGTTGTATCTCGTTTAAAACGCTCATCATTGTGCATATATGCACAACATTCTAATAGTGATAGAAATAAAATTCTCTATCAGAAAAAAAAATCAAAAATCTTAATATTGAATACCTACCAAATGGTTGCTTTTGATAAGACCAAGATATTGAGTGAAAATCAACATATGTATTAAAAGATGAAGAAGATAATGAAGATGGCTTATTCGATTGAATATAAATCGAACTTGTTGTATAATCTATAAGTTGGCCAAAAAGAAAAACAGATAAGGATAATGGTGAACGATAAACAAGATTAATAAATAATGGTATTTGATAAGGAAATTCAGTTATTTGTGTACGTAAAATACCACGATTAAATGGTAACCAAAGATCAAAATGTAAATTTGATGATGATGAATTTAAAACAATAAAATTAATATGAATTGATGCATCATTTTTTAAATATTGTGTAAAAATAGTTTGTGAATTATTAAAATGTTCAATTGAAAAAATAAATGTTAAAATTAAATCTATAAGAAAGGAAAAATAATAAAAATCTTTTTTTTTTTTTATTTTATTTTTTATATGATTACCTGTTGAACATATATTTAAATTCCACATACAATTATCATCTTGATTATGAATAGGTGAAAATGTTATAAGATTATTTTCATTAGAATTTGTTTTAACATCTTAATTATAAAAAAATAAATTTTTCTTAATAAACATAAAAAGAAAAAGAATTTAATTTTTTTTTTTATACAAACTTTTTTTAATAACATTAAAAATATTTGGATATGTACCATACGTAAATGATATTGCGTCACTTTTTGATATATATTCAACAGATGTAAAATCAATTTTATATTGAATAAGATTGTTATCTAAATAACAAAAAAAGAAAAATTTTTTTTTTTTTTGATTATTAATGAGCATAAATTTATTCATAGATTTTGCTTTAGAGTTTGTTCTTTTATTTATTATTTCTTTTCAAAATATAACAAGTACCATTTGTCAATTATTATTTTCTTGTTAATATAATAATTGTTTATTTACCCTTAAGTTATCTTTTATGATTTACACAAAAAAAAAATATATATATATAATTAGATTTATTATTAATTTTAGTTGAATTTTCTTGTTCTTTTGTCTATATCTTAATATTACATAAGGAAGAAAAGAAAAAAAGTAGATAATGAATATTCAATTATAACATTATGAATGACTCTCATCTACTTCAAAAGAATGTTTAATGGTTAGTTCCGTTGTTAAAAAACAATCATTAAGTATATAAATGTTTCCGAGTTTTTTTTCTTTCATCATTTTTCGAAGTACTTTATTAAATATGTTTTAAGAATAGATAAATAAATCAATGCAAGCAACAAAAAAAAAAAGATTTGATTTATTTCGATTTAAAATACGAAAAGAAAATATAAATATATAAATCTTTTTTTATTCTAATATTTATATACGAGATTAAAATTCTAATTTTTTTTTTGTCTTCTTGTGTATGTGTGAATATTGACAGATATTGAACATTTATTTTATTTCTTTGATATTATTATATAAGCGATTAGCATATAAGCATGTCATATATATAGACGTTCTAAATGACATACAGGAAATGAAGCAAAGCAAGTTGTCTATGTCAATTGCAAGCATTTCGTATTGGCTATTATCAACTACATATATTTATATGTAGATCCAACATTATGATTAATTGAGCGAAAACGACAAGCATACATGTATATGCATACACGTTAAGTTTTCTTTCAATCATTCTTAAGTTCCTTTTTCTATATATGTGTGACATCTTGACAAAGACAGGACCATGACCCGTTTAACTGTTTACTTGATCGTTTAATTCAAAAGTATACACTATTCACTTCACCTTCATCCTTTCGATCTTCTATGTGAAGTGAGTGAAAACAGTTTAGCTTTGTTACTCTACCGCAAGTTGAGTGAAAGAAGATGACACACACTCGAGAGTCAATCTGTTCTATGTTCACACACATAAATATATATACAAAGTGTTCATTATTTTTTTTTGTCTCGGGCAAATCTTCATCGATTGTACGTTTGTATAGAAAATATGAACACTTTAATCATAGACTGTGCAAAGAAAGAAAAAGAACTTCACAATGTAGGTGTGTATGTATAAATATATATATATATGTGTGTGTGTTTCATCATTTATTGACAGGCGATCATTCTCATTATCTTTTCTTTGTGTTGATGAATATATACACGCGAACAAGTTCAACTGTTTATAGAATGACATGTGTGAGAATAGCATATCAAAACAATTAACGCTCGTGATCAAAGATTAGTAGTACTACTACTACTACTAGTCTTGATAATGATGATTATCAATCATAAATTACATCATGCATTACAAAGAAAAATGAGCAGTATTGCCTCTATAGTAAACGTACATAAGTAGACAACAACAACAGGTCAGTTAGATGATCAGCGTATGTGCATGTATGTATATATGTATATATGTGTTGGGCGTTTAATCGGGCAGACATAATGTAAACATATCGAACTGACTGACTGACTGACTGACCGAACAAGCAGTGTTTCATTAGGAGAGATGCCCATAGGATCCTCCATATGGTTGATCGCATGCATTGTTTGATATGGTGTTGCTTATATATACATATAAGCAGAAAAATAGAACATAATGTATTGCGTAAAAATGAATGAAATATATTGAAAAAGATTATCGTCGGATTTCAACCAACTAATATTCATTATTAATATGAAAAAAAAAGATAAGCATGATGAAACAGCTTATGTCTTTAAGGTTAAATATTCATAATTATAAATATTAGATAAGTCATTGTTAATATATCTTCATCTTTTTTTTTTTACAACATAATGACTTACTCATCATAGTTAAAATACTACATGTTTTATTGCTACAATCACATTGATATCGTGGTTCTTCATCAACATTTAAACATTCACATGATGAACTTGAACATAATGATATTTGTTGTTCACATACTTCAGATTGATAATTATTTGATAATGATGAAAAAATAGGATATTGAATACGTTCAGGACATCCACATAAACCATAACGAAGATTACGTATATAACCTTGATATGATGAAAATAAAAAATCATTTGAATTATATTTTTTATTAAATATATTTAATGGTAAACCACCAATATAAACTGATGAACTTATATTTAATGTTGTAAATGGTACATAATTTAAAATTTTTGTTTTTATTATACGATTTTCAACATTTCTTAAAGCAACTGTATAAAGTAAAATTTCAATTATTAATGATGAACGTTTTTTAAATACAATTTTATACCATTTATTATCATTAATTATTTGTTCAAATTTTTCATATGATTTATTTTTTCCAAATTTTTGTTCAACTATTAATTTTCCATTATATATTGATATAAGTATTGAATCATCATTATAATAATTATTATCATATGTATAAAAAAGTAAACCATTTTTTGTTTTTGTACGAAATTCAAATGAAAATGAACCATTATTACATAAATATAAAGATGGATAAATAACAAATTGATTATTTTTATTTTTATTATTTATTTCATTTAAATTAAATTCAATTGAATAAACATAAGAAATAATTAATAATAGGATATACCATATAAACATTTTCTATCTGTTTAAAATATCCTTTACCCTCCTAAAAGAAAAACAGAATAAATCAGTCTATAAGATGAATATAACTTCAATAGGAAAAAAGTGAACAATTTTTGTTATATTCAACTAATTGTTCAAGATTCTTTTTTTTTTTTATAACAAAGGTAAACTTGATTCTATAACGACGGACGATAAACTTTACGTAATCGAAGTGGAATCAACAAATATGTGACATGCCTATTGGGGGATGCTCTTAAAAGAAAAAAAAAAAAAGAAAAGAAAAACTAACAGTAAGAAAATTCTGATAAGTCACGAAAGAAAATTAGAAGATAGATTATTTATCTGTATTATTTTTCTATCTAAATCATTATGATTATGTTTTCTAGAATCAAGGTAAAAAAGTTAATAAGGCTTCTGAACTTCTACATCTTACTTATTCTTGGACAAATGAGAAGAATAGAAGAGAAAGATTCTCTCTCTTGCTTTCGAGTAATGGTCAAATAAATACGTTCATTCGTAGAGTTTTGTATATACACATACGTTTTGTCTCTTGTTCTTCTTCTTCTTCTTTTCTCATTTCTTATTGTTATACTCCTTCTTTTCGCCGTTCAACAATATCCAATAATGCAAGACAAAGAGATGAGAGAACACGCGATATACATATGTGCATAAAAATAGGCCGTCGTCTACGGCCATAGTTAATTATTTTGATGAGAATGAGAACGAAAGCCCCTCAATAACCATCTTCCTTGCTTTCTTTTTTTTTCTTCTATCGTTTACTGTTATTGAACAGTGTTAGAACCACTAAACCATTGTCCATCATTGTTTTATCCCATATATATATATATATATATATATACATTCATACATATTTGACTGTCATCACTACAATACTATTCGATAAACAATGCTAAATAGTACATACAAAGATCTACATGTCATTAGCCAACTTTTTTATTTTTGTTGTATTGATAAGTTTAAGTTATGTAGATAATGATGAATAGAAAACGAAATATACGCATTTTACTAGATGATGGACGATGATGCATCGATATTTAAAAATAAGTATGTCTCATGAAAAAAAGAAAGAAAGAAAGAAACTCAAAAATGAGCAATTGATCATCAAAAAACAAATAGACTATTAAATTTGACTGAAAATTTTTTTCTTTTTATCTAATATGTAAATGATATATTCAAATAATTCAAGATATATATATATGTACTTGAAGCAAAAAAATAAATGAATTCACATCAAATCTTTAAAGAGCAATTTTCTTTATAATATAATCGATTAAATTTGAATATTTTGTTTTTGATAAAAAAAAAGACATTGAATACAAACTAAGAATCATCACACATACTACTTTTTTTTTGTTTTTTATCTAAAGTAGAGTGAGTAATAAATATCTTTATAACACACTACCAATATTCTTTGTTTTGTTTTTTTTCTCAATGGGATAAATAAAACAATTGTTGTTAAGATAAAAGGCAAGAGTACGTTGAACATATGCAGTAATTTAATCTAGACAAGATTTATTTGATTTGTTTTTTTTTACACATCCCAGACGATGGATATTGAATAATTTATTTTATCGTAAGATTGGATCCATATGTATATTAATTAAGTAGTAAATCCTTTTTTCTCTTGAATAAAGAATGTTAAAGATTTTAATAATGATTTGTATTTTACAAAAGAGAGTTAATACGAGCAACTATGAATGATTTAAAAAAAAATATTCTAACAACAGCTGAAAACTATCATATATTGTTGTCAAATAGAAGAAGGTCAAATATCAATCATGAACTAGGCATCTTTCAAAGAATAAAAGAAAAGAAATTATGATAATACTTGTCTTTTTATCTAATCGATCGTCAAACGATTGAATTTTATTTTCATCCGATTATTAATATTATATATATATATACTTTCTATATTGAATATGATTTATTAGAAAAGAATTTTTTTTGTTATCTTATCTTTTGCTAATTGTTATACGTATCCTTGTCTATTCTCGAAAGGCTGATGACGACTATATTTATTATTGAAAAATGTTTGCATGTATGAATAATTTGATTTGTATTTCTAATAAGTCTTTTCTTTTCTTTGTCTTTCGAAAAATACAATGAATTTGTGTCATTTATGTTATCATGATAGTCACCAACATAGTAATTTTTTTCGTGTATAATTATCAATTATACTAATATAGACAAAAAATAAAACAAATCTTGGACATTTTAATTCATTTTTCGAAATTGAAGTTGAAATTTTTGATTTAATATCAAATTTATAAATAAAATAAGGTAAATTATTAACTCTATATTATAGAAAATTCTACACCTTTATTTAAGTTCTTTAACTACTTAAATATGCTCTTTTAATATCCGTGAATAAATATGTGTTCTGACGTCAATAGAATAAATTATACATTTATATAAATAATACGATAAACATTTCTTTTACTAAAAGAAAATTATGTGAGAATTGCTTGATTTTTTTTTTAATTTGAATTTTTTTTTAATTCATATCACTCGAAGCTATTGCAGATTTTCCTATTATTCTAAAAATAATTGACTTTTTATCAAAAATTAACATCATTTTCTATTCATTGAAAATTCTATTGCTATTAGTTTTTGTTTTGATGGTAAAATATTATAAATAAATCTTAATGAAAGAAAAAATTTTCTTTTTTTTTTTTTTTTTTTACGAAATATAACCGTACATGAATGACACAGTGCAATAAATAAATCTTTAAAGAATAGTACATGATTTTGATTTTTTATCTTGTTCTATGTTTTTCGTAGCATTTTGATTAGTTGTTGATGTTGTTTTGAATTGTTTGCTTTGTTGATATTGAACATTGGTATTTGAATTTATACCATTACTTGTTGAATTATCATATGTTTTACTTCTATTTTTAGGTTTTTCAGTATTGATAACAATATTTCTTAATTCTTTTGGATCAAATGTACCCAAATAAATATCACGATAGGGTGTATCATGTTCACAATGAAAGGCACCTTTTTGTCGACATACACCACAACGAAAATCTTCTCTATCGAAATGATTGGCGTTCGTTGTCATGAGAAAATAGGAATCTAAAGTAAAAGAAACAAAAAAAAACTAAATAAAATATTTTTGCTACTGAGGAAATAATTTGTCGTTTAAAGTTCCGTCTAAATATATATATATATATGTTGATTATGAACATTTAAAAATTAAAGAAAATATTGTATGGTTTTATAATATTCTTCGTTTAAGAGAAAAAATAAGAAAAAAGAATTGATTAACAATTCAATTTACCTTTTCTTTTTTTAATGGTCGTTTGACAATTGTGTTAGAAAATAAAATTGACTTATCCTATTCTCGATTTTATTTTTTTGTTTTCAAAAATAAATTTCGTTTTTTAAGATGTGAAAAATTGAGAATATTAAATATCGAAATATAATATAGTAGACTCACCAGTTTATTGTACATACACAAAGATTTATTTTCGTAGATTTGTTGTGTTACGACAAGGTGTGGTAATAGAGAAGAAAAGAATAGAAAAATTGTTTTGTTTTTTTTAAGTTGAACAAACGCTATAATGTTTTGTTTCCTCTCTCTGTTCTCTTTTTTTTTTTTTTCTTCAATAACTTTGTCATAGACACAGATATGCTTAAAAAACTTAATTATATGCCACACGTTTTTCTTTATTGATTTTTTTTTCTTTGCTCTCTCCAGTGAAATAAGAAAAATTGTTGCCTAGACAACCGAGTGGTAATCAAAAATAAAGTTCAATTGAGACACAAAAAAATGACAAAACATACTGAAGTGTATATATTACTCAATTGAATAAGATCAAGAATTTATTTATAATATTCAATTTTCTTTCTATGATAATTTTAAAGTATTGTAATTTTCAGCATAATTCAATCGGATTTATTTTCTATTTTTGTTTTTTTCTTCGTTGTGATAAACACAGAGTGAATCGATGTTTCTGATAAACTAAATTTTTTAGTTTATTGAATTCTGTTTCAATCATTCAGAATGAAATATTTTGCAATTCTCTACAATAGGTTTTTTTTTAAAGAGATATATCAACCTTACGGAAGGCATAAAAGTCATATATATTTTTTTTTCTTTGTATTTTGTATGGAAACACTGTTGTTTGTGTATTCCGTAAGATTAATGTATCTCGATCAAAAAAACAAAAATGTCATCGAGAGATGTAGAGATTTATTTGTTCTAGTCAACAGAATTCAATTGACAGATCTGCGAAGTTGAAAAATTTAGTTTTTGATAGATATTATTCTTTGAAGTCTTATTAGCATTTACGGTAATGAAGAAAAAATAAATCTTGTTGAATGTTAGATTATTTCAAACAAAAGATAGTTTCATATTTCTTCATAAATATGGAAATTAATTTTTGGATATAATGAAAAAAACAACAGAGATTATGATATTAATGACTGTAAAATCGAGAATACTCTGCAATTATTATTAACATACACAAAAGCTCAATTTTTTCATTATAAATAATTGTTTTAACAGAAAACACATCTGTCAATATGATGACCTTCAAGTTTATCGAATCATAGAAACTTTTTTTTTAACATCAGATTTAGAATACATGAGATTAAACTCTCTTTCAATCATATTATACGAATGGCTTCGCTATTCTTTTTCTTTTTTGTTATAATTTATAGTCATTAATCATATGTATCGATTCTTATCTCATCATAAAAATTAAGTATGATTAATTATTCAACTAAATGATCAATACACATGATTACCGATTTTTTTTTTTTGTGAACCTTATATGACTTTTAATAATAACATATTGTTCTTGAATCTGATTATATTGCTTATCATCTTTTATCTTTGATCTTAGCTTTGATATAGAGGAACGTGCCTTACACGTGTGTGATGTTTACTCATTTGTTCCTTTTTTTTTTTTTTTTGCATCGTATATATCAATGAGAATTGTGCTATGTTTTATTCTTGCGTATTATAGTACACGTTCAATATCTAT